TCGTGTGTGTGTGTGTGTGTGTGTGTGTGTGTGTGTGTGTGTGTGTGTGTATATGTGTATATATTTATATATATGTGTATATATATGTATATATTTATATATATGTGTATATATTTATATATATGTATATATGTATGTATATATTTATATATATGTGTATATATATGTATATATTTATATACGTGTATAAAAATATTTAAAAAAAAAAAAAAACCCACACACAACTCACTCACATGTCAATGTGCATAAGCTCAGTATCTTTCTCTGTGCTGCAGGCCTCCAAGGAGCACCTGACTGAGCACTACATCGACCTGAAGGACAGGCCATTCTTTCCTACCCTCATCAAGTACATGAGCTCTGGTCCAGTGGTTGCCATGGTAAGAGATTGTATAAGACTGTGTGGTATGTCAGTTGAACCAGGAGATGAGTTAACGAACATAAAACCTGCTGCTGTTGTCTCCCACAATGTTTCCCCTGTTAGAGAAATGTTGATTGTGAGGCTACTGGAGAAGTGCTAACAGCAGCTGGCCTCATGTATTCCAGGTGTGGGAGGGCAAAGGTGTGGTGAAGACGGGCAGGGTGATGCTGGGCGAGACCAACCCCGCTGATTCCAAGCCCGGAACCATCAGAGGAGACTTCTGCATTGATGTCAGCAAGTGAGTACTTTAATGTGACTTAACCCTCCAACACAGTATGCAAACAGTCAGTAACCCCGACATTGCTTTGTCTCTGCTTCTTTATATTGCTTTTTTCCTCACTTTTTACATCCCCGTCCTTTTTTTTTTTTTTTTTTTTTTTTTTTTTTTTTTTTTTTTTTTTTTCTTCCTAGGAACATCATCCACGGCAGCGACTCAGTGGAGAGTGCCAACAAGGAGATTTCCCTGTGGTTCAAAGATGACGAGCTGGTCAGCTACACTAGCTGTGCCTTCAGCTGGCTCTACTGAGCCCTCTGGGTCCTGCAGCATTCCTCGCACTGGTTGGAGACCAGTAAACTTTTGCCTCACATTTCGTGTTTAAGTCCATAGCCTAGAGGGGAGAACTGAAGTTCTTAACATCTCCATCCTCACATCACCCTCTTATCATCATACTGTACTTGGATCTGGTCTCTGATGTCCAGTCTGAATTCATTCCTCAGCGCTATTCCTTTTAGAAACATTCCATTCATTCCTTGACATGTACAGTTAATGAAAAGCTGTCTTTGTTAAAAGGTGATCTGCTTTCCAATAAAATGAACACAATACAAATGGGTCTCTTCATTCATTGGTCAGATAACATGCAACACTAATGTACATCTGATCCTATGGAAGGATTAGGATATGATAAATGTATAAAGCAGTGGTGCTTATCTGCTCCCAGGCAGGATCGGAGCAAAACCTAATCTGAGATCAGTGTCAGAATTGTACTTTATTAAATGTCCATATTACTCCTCACCGCTGCATACAACCCAACCAGGGCTGCTGCTTTTGCTTGAGAAAAACAGACGCAAATGGAAATATAACTTGTGATTTCTAACCAGTTTATCGTCTCACTAAACAATAAACTACCGGCTGTAAAGGCTGATTGCGCAGCACCTATCACATGCCAGCTGCAAACATCTGGCTCTAAAGTCATGTTTTCTGACTGTTTAGGATTTGTAACCTACACACAATCCTAGTATTATTGTGACTAATAAATACTGTGTATTGATGCTACTTTGATATCCTGTCATATGAATGCTGCCCTCGGAAAAGCGGAAAACCTAGTTTGCTACTTGCGCTACTTTGTGAAAGCTAGCGGCAGAGTCTGGACATGGTTAACAGTGACGGTCCATCTTATGGAAATGTAGTTTTACACACTATAATTAGTTCACCATCCTTACATTATTGTATATAAGGTAATGCATTGGTGGAAATTAACTTGGTACATATACTCAGGAAAGTACATTAACATTGTCAGGTACCTAACCCTACTTTTTTCAAAATTACTTTTTCGACAAACTATTTTGACTTGTTTTGACATGCTATACTATGACTCATGACTTTTTTGACACTATACTATGATTTTTTTTCTTTTTTTTTTAATGAGCATTACAGCTAGTGTAGTGAAAAAGCATAACGTCTGGATGGAGCAGTGGTATACTGTCCATGGCTCCTTTAAATGCCTCAGCCATGTGCTGCCAGTCTGCCTGTGTGCAAAGGACAAAGTGCTGAAACAGTCAAAGTCATAAGCCTTTTTATTCAGTGTAAAAGTCAGATCTTACAAAATCACCAGATAAACTTTCACAGCCATGCGGAAACAGTTTGCAATGCTTGTAAACAAAGAAGCCGTCCATTACAACCAAGATTATGATCCAAACATTTGGCTTTATTTACAAAGTCTATCAAAGCTCGATCACTGCACAGATTTACCATATGAAAGGAAAATGGTATACACTATCAAAAAGATGTACAAACTTTAAACTGTAATCTAATAATGTACCTCAGGGGTCAGTGTTGATATCAATAGATTTATAATTATTAACATAGATTTTTTTTTTTTATTTGTATCCAAAATAAATTTTGCACAATAACCCTCTCAACTCAATTATTTTCAGACAATAGTAATCCCAATACATTAAGTCATTTTTATCAAATATATATATATAGCACCACAATATAATGGTTTAATATAAGGGGGGGGGGGGATCACATACAAAAGACCCGTGTTAGTATCCAAGAAAAAACACAACAAATATCCATATACAGGAAGAGCTCTGCAACCACATCAGCGTCCTCTATGGAAGCCCAATACTGCCAAAGAAAGGGAAGTAAGAATTATGAAATAGGAAGTCGAAATGTAGTTCCTTAATTATGAGATACCTCAACATTTGGACACCAAAATGATGATAGTTAACATTATATACTACAATATTATGAGTCAAAATTGTGAGATACTGGGTCAGAATTTTGATTCACTGAGCCAAACATAAGATAAGTCAAAAATGAAATGGTCCAAATCATAAAGTCCAGTGTTTCCTGAGTATTAAATTAGTATCTCATCATTTTACTATGAATCTGGATTTAGAATGTTTTTTGTTATCACCATGCCCCACTTTTCATTTCTTTTCTCGGCAGACATGGGCAGCCACACGTTATCTGATCACAACTGAAGAGGAAGAAACACAGACAGACTGAAGAACAACCAAAGACGGTTACAACGGAAAAAACAAACAAGCTCGACAGCACGACATCGGCACAACGCGCTCTGTTCTACATGCACTCAGCTGATCAGTGCACCCAATCACCGCCTCCGTCTCCAGCTACTGACGCTCAAACACTTCTACTACAAAGCTACCCATGGATGGAGGTCAAACTTGTTCCTTTCTTTTTTTAGATTTGGGGATCAAGAAACAAGAAAGTGTTTTAATATCTACAAGGAGTGAGAAACAGAGGATCCAAAACAGTGTTGATTGTGCGTTTAAGTATTTCGGGTTAATCTAGAGGAAGGTAGCAGCATTAGTCAATAGAACAGTCATTTTCTTTCCTTTTTTGTACTAAGATATTAATGCAGTTTGGTTGTGAAGTACTTTAATGCTTCGCTCTGCCTCCAACATCACAGGAACAAAAACCTCCTGGGACTGATCCTGAACCTGAAACCAATCTGCTTCAAATGATTGTGAGACATTGTCTTGTTATTGCTCATTTGGTCTGAGAAGCTTAGCGTTTCAGCTGGACTCTCTGTCCAATCTGATCAGGAGACACTTTCCAAAGAAAGGAAACTAGAAGAAAACGAATGTCACATCCTGTTAACAAATTCAAACTGAAAGCAGGAAGCCACAAAAGAAAAAGCAAATCAAACTACAAACATTGTGTCATGACTTAAATGTAGAACTTCACATGGAGGCAGATTAAAAAGCTACAGAACGTGGACAGAAATGCATCGGATGGTTTGTGAGGCAACACTTCTGTTTGAATAGTGTGGAAGCAAATAAGGGCCCTGATAACTAGAACCCTGAAATACCTGAAGTTCACCTGTGAACTTTAACCACTACTGAATACTTCATGTTGAAATACCAATTAATGAAAAGTATTCATTTACTTTACTCTGAAAACCACCCAGTGGAATTTCTGTGATTTGAATTCTCGTCTTTGACTTTTGTTTTACGTTCATTCCAAACAGAACTGATTTGATGTTGGGCGGCTGTAAACTGCGTGGTACTCAAAGCACGATGTAACGGAGTGATCACACTCTACAGGCGCTACTTCACTGATTCACAGGTTAGTCGTTACCGCGCCACTCATTGGCTTCCACAGGGATGAACATGATGGAACCCAGCTGATTCACACTTGTAGTTACGACCCTTACATCCCAAAAGAAAAAGAAACAAACTTCCTGAGAATCTAATCATGAACCTTACTGGTAGAAAGAGAAATGATGGATCTTTACCGTCACTGAGAAGTGGAAATCTGCTCTGCATTTCAGTACGGCCTTTAGCCGTACACCGAGTATCACAGTTATACAATAGCATTCTGTTAAATCATCTCATCTGTTAATTATATTAATGTAGTGATCATGACATTTGAGGGTGCTATAAGATTTATTTAACACAGCAAAATATGGGATCTGTTATTATTGCATATCATTCTAATTAGAAGACTAGCTCGTGTGCTGTGATACCATTCTTCCATGTTTGGTGTCTAGTCTTCAAGAGGATCATTTTTATGTAAATCCCTTTCATTTGCATATGCTAACACACTGCCATAGTCGGTTTCACGCTGTGGTTGTAGCTAAACGTGGCTAGCATCAGGAGGTAGTAGATAAACAGCTCAAAGATCTAGCTCCAAGGAGAATGAAAGGAGTCTTCCCCACGGCCAAGGGTGGAGCTATGACTCATCAGGATGTGAAAGTCAATACCATCATCGTCCTGAAGAATATATATTTATATATAGAATCTGTGTATTTCTGCCACCCTTAGAACCTGTCGTGTTGTGTGAACGCTGCCCTCAGAGGATATTGGAAAAGCAGTGCATTGTTCATGTTTCATTATTAACAACAAAGCTGTTATTGTGTGGCTCAGGTGAATCATAAACTAGCTTGCATACATATGGCTCTGACATGAGAACAACCTACGCAATAATAAAAACAAAAAAAACATGAAAGCTTTGCATATTACCCTAATAAAATATTGAACATATTCGTTTCTTTTCGCATTTGGAAAACAAAACTGCTTGATGAGCCCAACCTGTTGTGTTCACACAGAAACCAAGGACTGATGCTACAGCTGCTGACGTATGGAGTCTCGACTGTGCCACATATTCAGTGTTCAATTATATTCAATTAATACATTACTAATAGAAAAAATAAATCTCAAGATTACTTCTTCGCTTATACATCTTTAAATGATAAGCAAACAGAATAACAGTGTGCTACTTAAATATTATATAGTCCATCCACAGACACAGAGCCTCTGTGTGGGTTCAAAATCATATCTGCCTTGTAAGCAATTTGCAATTCATAATTTACAGACAGAATAAGGAAGTAGAAATGTAACATTCTTTCTTTCCCACTGTAGTTAATACATATCTTCTAAAGAGAAAAATAAACTATTCATATTTACTTTTCTAACAGGCATTAAGTGACTATAACTTCTTACTGAATGAGTGTCTAAGTGTGACGGCAGACTCTAGATCAGTGAGGAGGACTTCCGGATGGAACGTTGAGCTCGGTCCTCCTCTGGGTTTAAATACAGCAGACATGAACACAACAGGAGCACCTGCAGCCCGGTTCAGAGGACACACAGGCCCACATCGGTCCGCTGCGTCGTCACACATGCATCCACACGGTGCAAGTGGAAACATGTTCTGGGGCTGGACAGTGACAACGTGTCAGAGTGTACCCGATCATACCAGTAAGGTTTCTCTGTTATACAACATACCCTGCAGCTCTCTTACGGTCACACGAGGCAAATTGTTTCTCATTAAGTGAATTTTTATGTTTGTTTTTTTTTTTTTTTTAAATGGTAAAAAGCTTTAATCTCCACAGCTTCATCGTTTCTGTTCAACATTACAGAACCAGTGAGGACTTTGAATGGGCTCATGAGTCAGCGGTCCTGTGTGAGTTCTGCTTACTGTGATTAGGTCCCTACAAAGAACTCCACACGACAGCTATCAAACACACCCAACCCGGTGACCTCATTGGTGTGCACCGATTTAAGCCTCTCTGAGCTAATGTGATCCAAAGTCATCTACAGGCAGGGTTACCAGCCCGACGGTGAAGGAAAGGCTGAGTGAAGTACAAATGTACAGCCCAAAGGATTGTGGGAGAGGAGTTCTGTAACTAAATAAATCAATGGTTATGGTGGAGTACTATTCAAAGCTGCACTACGTCCATTCTAATCTACTAGAACATTATTGGTGCTACAATAGAAACCTCACAAGGTCTCGGTCTTGAGTCAGAGTTTGGGTTCTGTAATGAGTGAATCAGGAACGACTGCTGCTGTGGAAATGGTCTGGCAAATATCGGAAGAAACAATATGAAACTTAAAAATAATAAGAGCAATATGAGTAATGCTGAGCAGCACTGTACTGAGATCACAGTCCTCTATATGTATACTCTGTGGTTCTATTTGAACAGGTCTCCACATACTATATGAATATAATCACCTTTATGAAAACAACGCACATCAAGTTCCCCACACAGCCACCAAAAAACAAAAAATGCAAAATAAGCACATTAAGACAGAAACAACTCAAAAATCATTACAAAATAAGAAAAAAAAGATAAAAAAAAAAAGAAAAAGATAAAAAAAAAAACTTCAAGTACTATTAACAAAGTATAAGTCCAGCTGGCAATATTGTTCAGAAGAAAATAATGAAAATATCCACAACTGTGTTCCTCTTCCTGCCAGCCTCGGGGCTCTCCTCAGGCCGGTCAGTGGCGGACTCTCCCACCTGAAAACAACAAAAGAAGGGAAACACCTGGCTCAGATGGTTTCTCACAGTTTCTACAGGTCTCTGTGTATAGCCCAGATCATGGCAGAGGCAGGGAGGGCTGGACTCCCACTCCTGTGGAGAAGAGGGTGTGGTTTTCCATCCATCCGAATACCTCTCGTCTGATTGGATGATTCAGACAGGAGAGGAGAGAACGATGTCGCACCATCCGAGGGTGGTACGAAAAGAGAATACCCAAACATGTGTGACCCAGGTGTTTTTGTGAGTGATTACGTGCACACACGGCTACAAGGTTACAGAAACTGTTCAGAGGAGTGATCACTTCAGGACCTTTTTTTTTTTTTTTTCCAGAAGCTTGAAGCTGACCTCGACATCTCCTGTACTGTACTCCATGGAAGGCCGGCGGCGTTGGTCTGAGTGTGATTCGAAGTAGTTTGACTCCGTGTTCCTGATCCTTGCTGGGGGGTTGTTTCCCCAGAGGCGTGTCTTTTTGTGTCTTTTTGTCCCTCTCCGTCCCGACATCAGGGCTCCTGTTTGATGTAGTAGCTGCCCGAGCCGTTGCTCTCCTGGTCGGAGGTGCCCTGTGAGAAGGTGAACTCATCCACCTCTGGTGTCTCCTCCTTCATCCGCAGGAGAGACTCTACAGACAGAGACAGAGAGGAGAGAGAAAGAGAGAGGAGAGAGAGAAAGACAGACAGAGAGACAGAGGAGAGACAGAGATGAGCCGGCTGTGTTCATGCAATTAAAAGTTAAATAATGGAGGATTGTGTGTCTTGGATTCCAGGAGTTGATGGTAACTTCACATGCATTATGAGTGTCAAGATAGCTGGTTTAAAAAAAAAAAAAAGAGAAGAAGATCAAATGAGACAAACGTGCCTTATGATTGCTTCAAAGTTAAAGTGAAAATGAACAAACCTTCACTGACATGAGAAAACATTCATGTGAGAACAACAGTGAGGTTGATTTAAGAACATGCTGCATCAGCAGCCTCCAGCTCCACAGCGAGGCCCTGTGGGCGGGACTCAAGAGGACGTCTTCTGCCGCGCTGGTTGTGTTTTTTAGAGTTAGTGTCGACGTTACCTGATTTGTGGGTTTGGTGGAGGTGGGTTCGGGGTCGGGGTCGGGGCCGGGAGGGCCCCTGGGCGGGGTAAGGGGGCGGGCTCTGCTCTTCGTCCCCGGAGAAGCTGCTCCGTCTCCTGCCTGCCTGACTGAAGGGCCGTCGACCAACCGGAAGCTTCCTCTCTAAAAACACCAAGCCGGACTCGGGTAAGCTACCAGGGGGCTTATTACACACAGGGGTTACATTCTACCAGAATGAGTAGCATCACTTCAGTTCACAGGAGACCGATGGGAAATAACACTCACACATATATACATGCACAGCATTTTTGTTTTTAAGTTTAAGTGTATTTTCATATTTGCAACCATAGACTTCCATATAAACTGCTTGTGTTCAGCAAAATAAAGTGTACCAATTTAGAACAATGTGGTCCTAATGGGGGTGCGACACCCGGCCTTGTGCTCTGACAATACCGGAAGTATCTCATACCCCCAACAAGCATGCAGGTATATGTGTGTTAATAACTATCCCAGTCAAGAAGGGAAAGGACAGGACGTTCGTCTTTCTACACCAGCCAGCAGTAACGTGACACCGAGCAGTCTGACAGCAGCTTCTAGCTCAAATGGAGCCAGTCACAGGAAGAGGAAGAGGAGACGTCAACGGAAGATGTGGAGTGAAATAAATCTACAGTACAAGACGGATTACTCACTTTTCTTTTGGCCTTTGTACTGCTGGGCCTTTTTCTTCTGCTTGGGTACAGATTGAGGCATTTCTCTGTTACCTGAAAAATAAAAGAGCACCAGACAGTAAACTACGGGACATTGGAGGGATAGTGAGGTGGGGCGCAGACCACAAAAGCAAATGGTATCAAACGTGTAGCAATATCGATTGTAGGAGTTCTAGTACAACATACAAGTAGGGATGCATCGATCCGATATGCGGGATCGGCATTGCCGCCGATACTGGCTTATTAAGGGCGTCACATGTCTGCAATGACACCACCCATCCACAGTGAACACAGCTGCTACAGGTATCAAATCAGCGCATCCCTTGAGTAGTGTGAGAAAAGGCCTTCATCGAGAAAATGCCGAAAAGATACGCATTATTAAAATGTATCCAGAAGTATATGAAAGGAAAAGATTACAAAATGATGAGTAGAAATGTTACGGGAGAGTGTATCAAATATTATAAAATGGAAACTAAACTAAAAAGGATCAAGACATACGCAATATGGAATAATATGTGACCACTAAAAATGAAATATGTGTTTTCATCTTCTGTAGCTACATTCTATTCAAAAGTTATTCCACCATGTTCATATGCAACGTCCTCAGGAATAGTGTGTGGAACATTGCTTCAGTCATCTCACAGCAGCTCTTATTTACCCTAATAACCCAACAGCTCTATTCCAACGTTTACAAAGCACTTATCTCTGTGGCTTGATTCAAGGAAAAATTAAAAATATAAATACACTCAAGTCAACAAAAAAGGATAATTTTACTTTGTTATTGTCATGTATAATTCTAATTATTAGGAAATAAATGATTGGATTTTAATTTTAATATTTGCTTTGATTAAACATTTTTGGGGGTGTTAGAAGTTTGAATGTATTCTACGCTGCTTAGAGCTAGGAAGTTATTCCCTCTCTAATAACAGCTCCAGAGAAGCTCATGCAACCTTCTCTGATGTTAGCCGTTAGCTCCGTTATAAGCAGGGCTTTGCTACAGAGACCACGTGCTGTCGACAGAACAGCGTGCATAATTACAATATTTCATACGTGTCAGATTTAGTTCGCTGTTCCAAATGTTGCTATGCTGTTAGCCAAGCAGCTGCTAACAGCATTCGTTAACTAGCTCTGCTCTTGCCAGTTTCAACAGATTTGTTGTTTACAGTGTAGCATTAGCATTAGCATCATCTCACTTGCTCCGATCAGTCAACTGCATTCTACTTGCCCGAACACAGTTTACTTGCCCCGGGCTAGCAGGCCAGCATAAAAGGCCTTTTCCTCAAAATTAGCCGTTTCTTCTACTCAGTAGCCCTGACACACACAACACCTTCTCTGAACCTGGTTTTATCCAATGTTCAGATCTCCCTTTTGCACATATTTAATAAAACCTCATTTATATTTCTACACATCAAATAAAAATAAAAAACTTTTTTGTCTTGTGTGTAGCTAAAGGACAACAAATGACTTACTGCGTATGTAACCTTGAGTAAACTTGACTTCTCTTAATGTGACAGAATTCAATCCGGACTACCATGTTGGAAGCATAACGGAAAAGTTACAGAAAAAAAATTGCCATTGCAATTACTGCAGAAAACTTGTCAAACACAAGGTGGACATGGAAAACATGCAGAACCTTTCCATCATGAAGTGTTACCTGAAATAAATTCTACTATCTAACATGTAGAGGATTACATATTGTGTGTAAAGTTGACACAGTGGCTGAGATGCATCCCGCTCTTACTCTGTGAGGCGGGGGGTTGGAGCTGGTAGCCCGTCAGCTGACACCAGCCCACGGGGTAGAGGTCAGGTGACTCGCAGTCCACCCACTGGTCGTACTCGTCCTCCCAGCCGTCAAAGTGGATCCTCAGTAGCCGGTGCACAATCCTCGTCACCGTGGCAACACACACCAGCCGCGGCTCCATCAGATCAACGGCCTCCAGCTTCATGCCTTGACGGAAGCCGTGATTGGGAATCTCCTAAGAGATTTGCATGGAATTGAAGCACAGACGTTAGTGAGCAGTAAGCTACTGGTGAGTACATGTTCCTGCAAACAGAGGAGAAGCACCGACAACTCCTGAATCCCACGGGCAACAGATACGAGGCTGTGTATGAAAGGGAGGCTTTCAGCCAAACAAAGTCCAGCAAGTGGTACCTTTAAAAGACCATTTTCACCGACATCGATTTTCCAATTCATGCGAGTGGCTCTGTCATTTTTGAATGTGTTTTCCTAAAAGAGGCCATTGGTTATTAATGCATTTTAAAATCTGCTCACAGAGACTCTAACTTGCTCCATACTGAGGAGAACATGGTGCTGAGGCGGAAGAAGAAGAGTCGACAACGCTGCTACATCTCAAATATGGCTGCATGCGGTTCATCCCAAAAAAGCCCAGAGGTTAAAACATCCACAAACAAATAAAAACTAGAGGTCGACCAATAAATCCATCAAAAAGCCGACAGACAGATGGGCCTACCTAAATAGCCTCTATGAATCCAATACATCTGGACCTGAACATCAAACTCACAGTAATAGTCATTAAATTATTGAAGATCAAATAGATTGATATATTATAGAAAATCAAATTGATAACTTAAAGTAACAGTAGAATGATTTATTTTGGACTAAAAGCCGATAGTGTTGTGTTATATTATATATTTGAGATTATTTCTGTGGGGAGAATTAAATTGAAAACGGTCAAATATGAATCCCACATGTTTGCTATGTCGGAAAATCAGCTGTCCATCTGGACCGCAAACGGTTAGCCCAAATGTTCTAAACCTTTCGCCAGAAAGAATAATGTGTTGAAGGTTTTGGAGTTTTCATGCTTTCTGCAACTAATCACAGCGGTGCTCCGTTTACCTGCGGCTTTCTGTTGGGAGGCGGAGTGCTATGAAACCCTGTTCTATTAAACAACCAGAAAAATGAAACCAGAAGACAATGAAACTGAAAGACAAGATCTCAACACAAACACAGTGGAGAAACCAGCCTACCTTGTTAAAGAGCTTGACAGGAGCAGCTATTGAACCTGTTTCTCTGAGGTAGTCAAACCATTTAAATGGCAGTTTAGTGTACCCTAGGGAACAGAGTCAGTGTTGAGACCAGAACATTAAGAAATCATATGCAAGAAGATGTTATCAAACTATTTCTAACCATCAAATTCACCTAATGAGATAAGGTATTCAAATATGGCATAGTATAGAGGCTATGTATGGAAGATTTGAAGTACCTAAATAAAACTTTTAGTCAGTTTTCATCAGGAGGTGCAAGAGAATATGTTCGTTTTAGAGATGGAGACACATCGTCCATGAAAAACAATCAACTATCCAAAACATAGCTGGCAGGAGTCAGCTTTTCATCACCGACACAGCTGGATGCAGCCATGACAGTCTTTCACGGTCAAACCGCCTCCTGTAACTAACCAGCCAGAGGGACATCCTATTAAGTGGACATTTAATTACATGTGTGATTGAGATCAACACATCTGCTGTGAGAGTGTACTGTGAAAGAGAAAAAGCTCCCAGAGCACCTTCTCATGAGAAACTAATGCCAGTGCTTTGGATCAGTCAAACATTGCTAATAGCTCAAACAGTGGGACTGGGTGTCGGTGACAATAGGGTCGATCTATTAAATTAAATTAAATGTTTACATCTGATTATATATGCGCGTACTGTGTCATGTGGAAGCAGGCCGCCGGTAGACAGCATATCTGAGGGCAATAACAACCAACGCTTCAGGCGGTATTTCAGACGTGCTACCGCAACAAGTTTGCCGATGTTTCAGGGGGTGGCGGTAGTGCTGCAAGATATAACACAACCAACTTCACCGAGCATCTCCAAAGGCATCATACCGAAGAATTTGAAAAATATCTTTTCAGTAAATGTATCTCCCTATCGACAGATACCCAAAAAACGCAGGTATCAGTATTGGGGGCTGAAAAAGTGCATCCCTAGACATCTAAATAATAATTTTGTTTTTTCAACACGACACACTAAATGCATACATAAAATGAAAATCGAACAATTTAACTATATTTCTTTGTTTGTTTGTATTTAGGCATTTTAAATCTTCCATACCTCTGTAGTCCACTCAATGGGATCAAATTTTATGATGACGGGCTCAACGAAACAAGGACGCGAGTGTACAGTACCTCTAGGGGGCGTGAGTTCAATGTTGTTGATTTCACAGAAGCCGACGGGGTAGATGGACGGGGAGGTGCCGTGGTAGCAGAACCAGTCTGATCCATCCACTGCCTCCGAACCATCAATCCCGATCATGAGGTACCCGTCTGCCAACACCTACACAAGACCACAACGGCTGAAGTCTGCCTGGACCAGGCAAGTTGTTTCCCCCTCACCCACAGCATTTCATCTCAACATCAATGCAGACTCCAGAAAAACCCACTTACCTTTCTTACAGTGGCTACACATATAGCTGAGAGGTTGAGGGGGTCAATGGCTTCTAATTTCATCCCATCTTTGAACCAATCCCCAGTCTGGTCCACGTCTTTCACCTGATACGCATTCAGATGGAAGAAATACACATTGGGGATTATTATTTGAAATACGATTGAGTCAGGCATTGTATTAGAATGCCATAATAGTGACATCAGCTGGACAAGTCCTAGATTTTTAAGGGTTTGTGGAGACCGGTCATATAGATGCATCAATGTCATCACCTGCACATGGGAATGAAAAGCAACACACAGCGTCTGTTGAATACCAGTGCTCTGTTGACTGTTTAACTAATCCTGTTGGTTCTCATCCATTATATGTGGATGTCATCATGAATAATAGTGGGCTCTTATTTTGAAATACAGGCTCAAAGTGATTGCATTACATGAGGTATGCGGGACTCATGTCTCGCTTTTGTGTGTTCCTGGAACTTCCCGCATTGTTACAGGTGTTATTTTGTTCTGCGTTGTGCTCCACAATGTCTCCACACTGTCATTACTGTTAAACAGTTACATATTACCAGTGAATGTGGTTGGACTTTGGGTGATGTTGGTACCCGATTGCCGAGGACATGAAAGAGACATTTCAGTGAAAATGATGAGCCTGTGGTGAACATGAAACCTCACTAGCTTCTTTCAGAGAGCAGTTTTAATTGCATAAATAAAATGAAGTTTTAGCGTTCAAGTGACAAATTATCATTTAAAAAGTCAAATGGTCTTTTCAAGAATGTTTTAGGTGAGTTTTTGGAGTGGTTCATTTATCATTCATAGCAGGGTTTGATATCAAGCTTTTTCAGTGGAGACGTTTGACTTGCCCGATAAAGCCAAACTTACTTTTCCAAAAGGAAAAATGTAGGCCTATTAAAAAAAAAAATGAACCTCGCTGATTATTGTAAAACAATCATTGAAACTGGACAGACAAAATAAAACTCATCAAAACTGTCTCAGTTAGTCTCTCAACAATCACCCACTCTGGTTTCTCTTTATGGAAGCTTGGCATTAGACATTTTAATGATGTAACCAGCGTCGGAAATACACGAGGGCAAAGGGCAAAACTGCCCCTAAGAAATATCATTTTGCCCCCGATATCACTAGGAGAGGGGCAAAAACTGCCCCCGAACTTTCTAAACGAATAAAAAAAATGGAGCGCTTCTTAATCAGACCTGTGACTGCGAGACTGCGGTCAACTCAGCAGACACTTAAATTTGAGTGCACCTATATGCTGAAATTCACGGTAAACTCATTCAAACGGCGCAGATCGGGAGCGAGCGAAGGACTTGGAAAGTTAACGGAAAGATTAACGTGAGACAACATCCGGTTTCTACAGACGAACATCCGGTTTTCAGAATAAGATGCCAACAAAGTATACATATTGCATAATGGAAATTAGATTAAATGAATTATGTTCACATTAAGTATAAAACAAGCTACCATGAGTTAAAGGGAAAATACACCTAAATTGTGCATAAAGTGTCTTTATTCTTTGATTTGAGGGTTGCTGGAAATGAATAATACCTGACTGACAGTCAATTAAGATATTTTACTAAGTAAAAACTCTGAACTGAATTTGTACCTTCAAATGGCACATTTTTTAAATTTTTAAGGTGCTATAAAAATATTTTTCTCAAAGATTCCACACAATGGCTAATGCATAAGTTCAGGACAAAAATGGGTAATATCACAATATTTGAGGTGCTACAAAAATATTTTTTCTCACTAATTCCATACAATGACTGATGTATATACAATCAAGGCATCGTTGACTTAATAATTGTTAATAGTTGTTTAAAACATTTAATAACAATAAATAACCACAAAGAAATTTGTTTGTTTTTTGTGAAAAAAAATCTAAGAAAACACTTTGAATCTGTAGACTACTGCCTAATAGTCTTATTATTGCCATTTGTTCATATATTGTAAGCCTAAATAAGTATATTTATTATTTTGAACAAAGGTTAAATGTTATTTCACAAGTTTCAAAAAGTGCCCCCAATTTTTTGAAAATGCCCCTGGATTTCAGTCAGTGGGGGCAAAAATTGCCCCCAAAAAAATATGTAAATTTCCTACCCTGGATGTAACGTGAGCTGCTTCGAGCTAGTGTTAGGAAGTTAAACAGGTCATGAATTCCATTCTCTAATCTCTACTTTATATTGCTGAGAAACATCTGTCTCACAGGAAGCACATGTGAGATGTGTTGCCCGGGCCAGCTTTACATTTTGCATTACACATTTTTGAAAAGTGTAGCCACACCCGTGACCGCTTATGGTTGGCCATTGCCCTGACTCACTGTGACTTGGAACAAGCTGCAGGTGTGACAATGACAGGAAATGACATACCTGCGACTCAATTCAAACCACTGCTGTAAGATTACTTCTTAGGAGAGGCTATTAGGATAGCAGAAAAATAAAATTAACTGGTTTTGCTTTACCTTCTGGAAGAACAGTGCGGGAGCATCAGCTTGACCCTCAATTTTCTTTGAAACATCTGAAAAATAAATTGACAGATCAAAAGGACTTCAAGATGCTTCAGCAATATATACAAGCTAACAAAGCAGCTCCGTGAGCGTGAAATAGAATACAGACAGTAGAAGCAGAGAGTGGGCAGGACTTCAACGAACACACTTTGATGAGAAAATAAATGATGATTGGAATTAATATGAGCATAGAGGGAAAAAGTTCCTTCTAGAACGTTGTCGGACTCATAAGAAAATCTGAGCCTGTCAGTGGCAAAAACCAGCACCTGTAGTGGACGAATACTGACGGAGTCGCCCCGAGCGATTACACTGCAGCCTGTTAGGCGTCTGCAGCAGTCTCCATAAATATGTCAGTCACTTAGACAATAAACATGGGAAAATAGGGTCCAGGTAGAAGATTACCCTTTCAAAATATAAACAGACAGATTAACACATTGTTGGTTTTGGTTTATGGGATTTGTTGACAATAACAAAAATATAGAACCTCACGAGCATTATTAAGTTTTTCTTGTTGTTTAACGTGTTGCATGCAGAGCAATCCACACATTAAAGTCCCACAAATAGCAAAAGATAGAAACACATAAACAAATGTCAAAAACAATACAGATAGTACACATTGTACATATAATCCCAGCATTTATCCCACTGCTTATATTAAAGAAAAACATGAAATGGAAATAGCTTTTATACACACAGCACTACTTCTTAAAGTAACAGTGTGTAACATTTAGGGGGATTTATTGGCAGAAATAGAATATAATATGCATAACTGTGTTTTCATTAATGCATAATCACCTGAAACTAAGAATCGTTGTGTTATTGTTAGCTTAGAATAAGCCATTTATATCTACATTATTAAAGACCAGCATATCGGGAAGCTCACCACTAGTGACACTAAATCTCACATACTGGACCTTTAAAGTGTTACTGGGTTTTTGTCCCCACACTCACCAGATCGTTTGAAGCGGTGTCCGATGCTGCGTGACCAGCCTATATTATGAATGAGGGGGCTGTACATGTGGCACCAAAAGTCGTCCGACCCGTCCTGGCTCTCCTCGTAGACCAGCCTGAGGCGACCCCCGATTACCTGCTCCACCAGTGCCACCCGTGTCCGGCACAGGTAGTTCTTGTCCACCACCTCAACCCGCATCAGCTTCTTAAAGGGGAACTGCAAGTTCTCGTGTACCTATGGAAAAAAGTCATGCATGGTTTCAACAAAGGCAAAACCAGAGGATTTAAAATGTTTCGTTTTGTCGAGTGCTTTTGAGAGGAATTTCAAGTCCGACACAAATGAACAATTAGGGTCAGCAATATGCGCTTCTGTCAAATCTTTATCAAGTTTAGAGATGATAAATCAACAGAAAACAGATCCGCTACCAGCTGGCTCTGATTTGAAAGATATTGGCCCTGGCCATCAAAAACAGAAAGAAAACTACACCATCATCAAAATGATGAGGCATATATTGGGCCTCACCTTGGCATTAAAGTCGGGTGGCAGTGTTTTAGCTCCAGTGAGACGCTTCACAAGAAAGGCTTTCCAGTTAGAGTACTTATGCTGTATGCCTGGAAGGGAGGTCACAAGAATGAACAGTAACATTTGCCACCAACCAACCAACCCCCCCC